GCAGTGTTTTTACAGTGAAATTGAGTATTGGAATCAGGACTGTCAAAATTTTGAAGAGGTGATGTTAATATGGTAAAATAAACTTTAAAATGTAAGAATACTCCTGGGAGTGTTTCTAAACCAGTCCTTTCTATTAGCACAGAGAGATAATGGTATTGTAATTGGTTTCCTTTAATGCACACATTTAAGTTAGCAGCCCATTTTGCATTCTCATCTTCTCCCTTTACAGCCAGATGTGCAGCTTTCCTAAAACAGTGCTCAGGGGATTCTCAGCAAAAGCCTTGAGCTTGGTTCCCAGCAGGTGCTGATCTCAACACCTTGTTCTAAGGAGGAGTAATTGCATTTAAAAAAAAAAAGGGATTTTGGAGTACCAACACCATCTCAATTAAGCATCCAGTGGGGAGGCCTGTGGCAGCAGGAAGAGAACATTAAAGAACTGCTGCCATCACTCCTTGTAGTCAGCAAACTTCCAGCACTTTTCCAGGTCTCTGATTTTAGCTATGACCTGTAACAAGCAGATACCCATCTTGATGTCCTGTGCACCTGTTTTTAGGTGAACTTACCTTCTGTCCAGAAGAGAACTTATTTTCTCTTCAGAGTTCTCACTGTGTATTTGACACAAATGATTCTACAGCTTATGCTGTTTAAAAACTGAAGCACAAAACAAAGCCCCTAACCCTGAAACTGAATAAATCTGGAAAAGTGAGATATGTACAGATTTCTTCTCACAAAATACATTTAATATATGAGTAGTGCTTATACAGACTGGGGAAATGCCATGTGCCTGTGATACCTTTTTCTTGGATCTAAAATTAAGAGCCAGGCATGGTTAAAGGATAAAGGGTTTTTATTTCGGTATTTCATCAGGATCCTTATGGTGCAACATTTGGCCAAGGTGGAATACACCAAAATGCACATTCACAGTAGATCCTGCATACAATTTTATAGACCTTGCAAATTACTATATTCAACAAAGATGCCCCAATGAGAGGCTTGAATGAATAGTGTGATATCTTCCTATCCCTTCTAGATGGGCTTAATTTTAGTTTACAGGATGTATTCTATAGGGCACCTTGGTTTCTCAAGATAGCTTAAGGCTTTCTGGCCTCCAGCTGTGAGGCCTTTAGGATGTTTGATCTCCTGGCCTAACAGAATACCAGGACTGTACTAAATTATCAGACTGAAGGAGAATACATAAAAGGTATATAAAAGAAAAGGCAAAAAATCATCATGGCATCGCCTACTGAAGTTTTACAAAACTGTAAAAATATTTGAAAACATTTCAGTGTATCTCAGTATTTTTTTTTTAATTTTAGCACTCTGTTTTTTTCATGGCATAATGTAGATTTCCAGTGTCTTTTTTTCTTTTTTCTTTTCCTAGTATGGTTTATACAGATTTGAGGTCTGTTGTGGCTGTAAAATTAGTCTACTTGCTGTGTTAGCCTTTAATACTGTATTCCCACGTACAACTGCAGTAACACAGCTTGAAGAGAATTTAATTAGGAAAATGAGGCAGATGAAATAGGCAATATAATGTATATCTGCAATATGAAGAAGAGTAAATACACTTTTCATCTGAATAGTCAGAATAGAAACTGTGTTAAACTGGGCTGAAATTTAATCAGAAATGGATTTGTTTCATTTTCTAACATTACTGTGTAATTGTCCTCCTTATTACTGAGGATTAGAAAGGCTACCATCATTAAAGAGGAAACATCTTTAACCAATTATGTGTTGTTTCTAGTTTGTATGGCACTGACCTCCTCTTTATGTGAAAAATAGAAATCCCTGGAGGAACAGACTTAGTGTGGTCATTCCAGCCTGGGATTTGGGAAGCCTTGTGCACACACTGTTTGCATCTCATGACCTGTGCGCACACACCTGTGCTCATTGATTCCTGCTGCTTTACAGATCATGCAAGCAATAAGTGGTAGAGTTCAGGTGACTAAAATCTTGCTCTGCCAGTAGCAGTTTCCTGCCTGGCAGCACTCTGGAATATTCCAGCCTTGCTGTAGTGTGTTGCTGCACAGTCATGGATATTTCACTTGTACCCATTACTTATTTCCCTAATGCATTTTTTAGCATTTGTGTTGGTTCTGAGCACAGATGATTGTACTGTGCAGAAAAACACAGAGGATCACTAGGGCAGAAGGCAGCTGAAGTAATATATAATAGATCATGAATAATTGTATAAGAAAAAGTCTCCCATAATCCCTTTGCAGAATTGGAGAAAGTAGCACTGGAAAGTCTGCAATATTACACAGCACAACCAGTACAACTGACACATTAGTTTGAAACACATTTATTTAGTCTGAATCAAGAGATAGAAATACATTATTCAGGTACAGTTTTGCACAGTAAACAAACAGAAGGTGTTTTAATAAATGCTTTAATTCTTTGCATGAGATTTTTTAATGTTCTAATAGTTCTGGATCAACCTACTTGGGCTGTAATGTGATTCTTCAGACTATTCCAGAGAGAGGTATGACATTAGTGCTTTTACTTTACTGATTTTTCTAGGTATTTTAAAAACAAGACAGGTAGTTAAATAAGTAAATATAATGTGGTAGGTGCATGATGAAAACACAGTACAGGCAACCTAATGTCACCAATCTTATTTCAACTACTTTTTGCTGTTTTTTGCTTATGGCAGCAATCAGTCAGAGGACTTCTCCAGTTGATTACCGGATCTCAGGGTCTCTCCCTCCTTAAGTCAAATTTCAAATCATCACATTTTACATTTAGCATTTGTGATTTTGAAGCCTTGTTTCTGTGCTTAGGTCTGTGCCATGCCTCTGGACAGTACCTTTATTTTCAGTGTCCTGGAAGGCAGAACAAGAAACCATCAGTAGTACTTTGATTTTCATCCGTAGCATTGCCAAGTGCAAGGGCAGGTACTACATTTGATTGTCCAGTTTCTGGAGACACCAGCTTATCATTTCATCACTGGAGGGTAGTCCTGCCTATGGAATGTTTCTCTCCTTTGTCAGAAGCATTTCCTTCATTGCAAAGAGAACCATGTCTCTTTACTGAATTGTGTGAAAACATTCTTGCATGTTTTAATCAGAATGAAAAACCCCCACGGGGGGTTGCTGATGGCCTGCTTAAGAGAAATGAGGCAGATTGATTGAAGTTCCTAATAGTTATTTTTTCAAGCATCAGCACAATATAGCAGGTGTTTTCTCTGCTAAGCAATTCTTCTAGTAGCTAAAGAGACTTGATTTTTGTATGTTGTCAACTTTCAAGTTTAATATATGCTAAGGGACACATCTCAGATACTTAATCTTCTGTTGTCTTTATGTGGAAAAGGATGTAGAGCCTTTTTAAATCTTTGAACCAGGCATAGTTAAAATCTCTACTCTTCCATGGTCTGTTCAAGCATTTCCTTTCATCTGTGATTTTCAAAAAAAACCACAAGACATGGTGCCTGCTTGGAAAATGTTTATTACATGGAAATGTAGTAATCTTATTTGTTACTGTATCTTATACTAAGATTTATACATGTTTTTCTGGTGTAAACCTTGATTAGATGCATCTGCTGCCCTTAATTTAAGTTCTTCTGTGGAATCAGACCCTTACAAAGCCAGAATTTCCTTTAGAAAACAAGTATTTCTCAAAGACATTTTCAAATTGTGTGCACTTAGAGGGGGTTGTTATGTGTAGTTTTCTTATAGGAGCAGGTGCAAGTGTGTAGGGACACAGTTTGTGGTGACTGGGAGTGGGACTGTGGCCCAGCCTCATCTCCAGTGGGTGCAGCTGTGAGCAGCAGGTGAGCAGCACTGGCAGCAATGAGCCATGGAGTGCCCAGGGGCACTGACCAACCACCAAAGGGAGCAGAGGGCACACAGGGGCACTGCATGAATGTGAGGGGTATAAAAGGTTCTGCTGAAGAACAAGAAGGGCAGGTGCTTGAAGCTTTCTGATGGGGTGTAGTGTCGCTGTGTATGGGTGAATGCTTGAAGCCTTCTGAAATTGTGTGGTGATACTCTGTGTATTGTGGCCATCTCAACTGTGATATATGCTGTGGCACAAGTGGGATGATAAATCAGAATAAATCTCTTAGATCAAGAACCAAATTTAGGTCTTACTGTGTGCAGTAATCTTCCAAGAAAAGAACTGCAACAGAAGACCCTCCATGGCTGTAGCAGAGATTTCCCTGTCTCAGTCAACATATGAAACTGAATTTCCTGATTAGTCACTTGGTTCAAGCTGGGTAATGTGAATGTAATGCTTCCGATGTGTCTGAAGTATTGTCACATGAAATTTGTCATTTCTTCATTTTCCACCCTGCAGTACCTTGGATATTTCTGATTGAATTAAATACTTTAAATACTCTAGGGCTTAAAGACCTAAAATAGACACAACTGAGACAGTGCTGTATCTATTTAAGAGGGATTTTCATTCTTGTCACGGAGAGAGAATTTTAGTGAATGAAAGTGGAATTCTTTGACTTCCTATGAGAGAAAATGTCTTCACATTCCAGTTGCTCAAGCTAGAAAATGTGGATGGAAAATGGCTAAATAAACTTTCTTCAATTTGCCAGTATTTCTTTAGTTGAGGTATTTAATGGAGAGATTAGGAATTGTGGTTTATTTCATAAGTCCTGTGTGCACTGATTTGCATTATGGCAGAAAAAATGTGAAATCCTGTTTGTGCTTTTCAAAGAACATATGATCCAAATTTTTACAATGCAGGACAAATGGAAATGGGAGGGACAAATTGCATTCCCTAGAATTTTGTAGCCCTGCCAAGATGATGAGAGAAGTCTTTAAGAAATTATATGTAAACTTTTTGCTTTGGAAAGAAGCCTTTTTCACCGCTCCTTCAAAGACATGATCATATTAAGGAAGATGTATCAAACATTCCAAGACATCCAATGCTTTGATGGGCCCAGGAGGCGCTTTCTGCTAGAAGCTGCATAGACAGGTTGATTGTTTTATTCCTGCTGCTTGGAAAGGCAGAGTCAGTCCTTTAATTATCTTAACAATTGTCTCTTTCAGACCCTGAAGATCAACCCTGACCATGCTGAGATTCGGGCAGCACCTCATCAAGCCCTCGGTGGTGTTCCTGAGGACGGAGCTGTGCTTTGCTCTGGTGAACCGCAGGCCGGTGGTGCCAGGACGTATCCTTTCCATGGTGCTGCTCTCCTGGGAAAGGCAGGACGCCATCAGGGAACTTGGAAGCCCAGGTAGGATGTGACGTGGGTTTATTCCAAATCCAGGCAGTGATGCTTGATCAGAAGATGCTTGAGCAGTGTTGCAGAACTGCCGAAAACAGTTGCTTAGCAACTGTGACCTTCGAGGTGAGTTTCTATTGACCTTTTCACCACAGAAGATATATAAACAACCAGGTGCTATAAAAGCATTTTAAAGTCTATTGGAGGTGGTGCTGTTCAAATTCCATATTATGCTAAATAACACATCCTGCTTCCCTTTTAATAATGTCACTTATTTTTAGATGTGGCAACTTGTTTATGGAGGATTTTCAACTTTTCCTGGCTAAATGTACACTATTTGTCAAATGACAGTAGAACCCTGTATGAAGACTTTGAAGACTTTTTTTTTCTGGGGGGGAGGGGCGGGGGAATGGACGGACAGATTGCTTTGATTAATTTAGGTGGGAATGGATTAAATAAACCATCTGTATAGTGCTCACATTTTGTGATGAAAATATGAAGCATCATGGTGTAAGTAAAATTCTTGAGTTTGAAATTGTATTGTAACTTGATTATACAAGATGCTTAATGTACCTATTTAATGTATTTTGTAGTGTAGTGGGTTATTTTCCAGTCAAAATTCTGCTGCTCTGTAACTTGTGCTGATTTTAGTGGCTGAAAGTGCAATTTTTCAGAAGTAATCAAGACTGATCTCTTCTTCCATAGATGTTATGATGAAATTTTAGTAGGAGCTCTGGCAAAGAATGACTATGTTGGGGAGAAAAAGGAAGTTGTCTGGAATTTATTGAGAGATTTCTTGTTAGTTTTGTAGTTTTATGTTGTTTCTTTCATAACTTAAAATGAAGTGAATTTTAATATATATATTTTTTAACCCAAAAATTTAATTCCTCTGAAATGTGAGACCTTTCTTTCCTCCCCTCACTTCTGTAGATTATAATTGTTCAATATTGGACTTTTCTCTCCACATGTTTTGAATGGTGTTTGTGTGTACCAGGAGTCAGACTTCATAAAAACTTTAAAGGTGTTACTGACTCGCCAATATACTTTAATGAATTAAATTAACAGTTTTTCTGATCTTTGAGTTTCTGAAATTCCTGATGTAAATCCAAGGTGATTTACAGATCTGTCATAACAAAAACCATTTCAAAGCTATATAAAGACAATGTCACATTGGTCACTGTGTGATGCAGGGCCTGTGAGTGCCTGAGCAGTTGCTGTATGCATTGTGTGGATCAGAGAGTAAATAAACTCTTATCTGTTCTGTGAGTGCAGGTTTTAAAAACAATATTTGACTTTTTTAAAATTAACCAGTTAAGTGAACAATTGCATCTGTTGTTAAAAATAGAGTATTTCAGATGAAGCATTCTTGTTTTAAAGTTTTGTGAGCACCTCGTAATGACAAGTTAAGGAGCCTATAAAACTTAATTATTACAAGCTTCTTTTCTTCTTAAATAATTAAAGATTATAAACTCTTGTTGTATAATTATTGCTGACTTTTGGCAGATACATTTATTTGCTCAGGGTTTAGCTTTGTTATCCCATAATGAGTATTGCAACGTATTTTATAGTGTCACATTGTTTTAATAGCTTGTGTTGTAACATATAATGTAGTTTTTGTTTCTCCATTGAATAAATGTTCAGGTAATAAAAACACAACCCTTTTCCTTTCTCATTACAATAAGAAGAAATTAGGAGAGATCTTGATGTAAAGGCTAGAATACAGTATGTAAAGTAGAGCAATTTGCACTTATAAGCCTTTTAAAGTGTCTGTATAATGCAGCATTCATCTTGAGACCTGGCAGTAAGAAGTGTATTTTCTTTGTTTTATTGCAATAATTTTATCTGCCTTGTCTTTGGCACATGTGTGACATTTTTTTTTTTTCAGTAGAAAATAAAATATTAATGTATGTGAATTAGAGAGACAAAGGAAATCAGTTTGAAAGCCAGATCACTCCAGGTGGTGGCTTTAATTAACTAGTAAGGTTGAAATTCCATCTTGAAACAGAACATAGGGTTGGAATTATGAATTTGCAGTAATAGTTTTAACATAAAACTATTCTCTGGGAGAAAGTCTGTCAGAGTGGCCTTGTGGAGTTCAGTGTGACTTGAGCAATGCCAAAGCAGTCTCGTTCACTTAACACATTGCAAAGTTTTGTTTTGTTTATTTTGAGCTGCCAATCCTGTGAATTTAGCTTGACATTTGAAAGGCAAATTGTGCTAACAGTCCAAAATTATGTAGAGTAGGAGTACAGTGTTTATGGTAAGGAAAGGGTTCTCCTGTTCCTAGATAGAGGTACCTCATTTTTCCCATTAGACTTCTGCCCAATGGGTGCACCAAGTTCACAGACTCAGGAGCCTGTTTGTATTGGGATTCCTTCAAGTGATTACTGCACATTCTTGGTTAGGAAGGTGCTGGGTTCTTATTATTGAGTGAGGGATATCCAACGTTAAACTGGAATTTTCAGTGCACAAGCTACAATGTACACATGTGTGGGACAGTAGGAAACATTGACCTCTTTTGGCACAAGGAGACCGAGGAGAGCTGCAGGTGGTCAGGGTGCAGGATTAGTGCCTGTTCCCCTCGGGAGATCCAATCCCTTTGTTGTCACCTAGCAGGCAAAGACTCAGAGGTGTTGGAACACAGGCTGTCTGGTGACATTGTCACTCAACACTTGTAATAATAAGGGGTCTGTATCTGCTCTGCTCTTGCCTTCTCCTTGTCTGATATCAGAGCAGAAGGCACATGGCATTGGGGACAGTGTTGATTAATGAGAAACTGGGTTTTGGGCTGTACTTTTTATGACTTTCTAGCATTGTCACGGAGCCAAGAGTCTGGGTGGGAACACAAATACTGTATTCAGTGCACATCTGGGCTGTAAGCTTGCGAGTGGGGAGGAGGTTGCTGGGTGTTCTGGAAGCTTGCTGGGATAAACTTATACAGGTACCCATTCCCTTTTTTTACAAGGGTCCTTGTTTCCTCTCTGTTCTGTCAGCTCGCTGCTTTGCAGAGGGTGATTGTGAAAAGCAGTCACTTGTGGCTCCCTTGAACAGCTCTGTGGTTGTTTTGGAGGAGGCAGCTATTCAATAGCAGGAGCAGTGCAGGGATGTGTCTATAGTCAGCAAATGCATTGTTTCTGTCACACGAAAGGCACAAGATGAACTGAATCAGCTCATGCAAGCAGCATGAGCTCAGCTTCTCCTTGGCTTCTTGCTTGAATTACTTCATTCAGAAGCTTGCTGCCTCCATAGAGCAGAACTGTGGTGCTGTTTGAAGCAAATTCCGTCTACTCTTTGGCATGGACCTTTTGTGCTTTCATATGGTAACAAATACCTTGTGAATGACCTACCAGTTTATTGATATTTTCTCAGTCCTTCACCAGAGCTTTACATGATTTTGCTCACATCTTCAATAAATATGAACTGGTTTTTATCACTGCCTTTTTCATGGTGTTGTTCAGGGTACTTGTTTTCATCTTGTGTTAAATATGAAAAATGAATTTCAACATTAGCAGAATCCATTTGGGGACTAGAACTTTTTATTATAAATAAAATTATTCATTAGTTATGTCCATTTTTTTTCAGTAGACAAGGTATTGATCTTTAGATTTGTGTTCAGGATGCCATAAGAACTAGCACAAAAGGAACACAGCAACATTTGTAAATTGATTGAATGCAGTATGTAATGACAGAGACAAACAGCAGATCTATGGCAATACTATATTATACAAAGCATTTTTCAGCAGTTTATTGAATTGGTTATTAAAAGGAACAGTCTTTCCAGCTGGGAACAGCAAGCTGAGGGTTATTGGGACCAAGTAATTTTATAGAAATTTGTGGACACTTTGGCTCCCTTACTAAGGGCACATGTATGTGTGTAATAAATTAAAAGAAACACTTCACCACAACTTTTCATATGGGATTGATTATGAAAAGGTTTTTCCATCTAAAAAACCCCAACAAAATGGAAAGAAAAAAGGAAGACTGTTTAACTGTTATTTACTGAATTTCTCTGGAGTATTTTGTACTGCTCTTTTCATAGATATCGAAATTTTCCCACCAGAAAGTATTCTGTTTGTGGGGTATAGACCGTGTATAAACCCCAAAGCATATGACATTTTCTGGCACCTTTATCACTACATGGAGATAATGGTCATTATTTGTTGCTGAAGCCGTGTGCTGTTCTGTGAGTTACTGCCGCTTGTTCCTGTTATTAACGAGCAGAGAAAACATTAGTTGAACCAGATGCTCCCTTCAAAGGCCTGCTCACACCCCGAGCTGCAGTGTAATTGGTCTGCTGCAGGGGTGGGACGGGATCCAGGGTCAGGCAATGTGAGAGCAGCATCTGCTCTGCTGCACAGTTTGTCTGGCTGGGAGCTCCCTGTCATCTGCTGTCACAACGGCTGTACTGCTTCAGACTGATGCGTTCTGTAGTGCCACAAATATTTTCCTAATGCTTTCCTTAAAAGTTTTGCAGTTAAAAAGAAACGATCTTTTAGAATTATTGTTGATGCTTAATATATTTTCAAAGTAATTTTCATTTAGTTGTGGACCTGACAGAGTTTCTACTGAAGATAGCACTCTAGAAAGAACGGTAGCAAGTTTGGTTGAAAACCATGGTATTTATCTTGTACATGAAATTTTAATTCTTCATAAATGTACAGAATTGCTGTTATGATTTTATTTGTACATTACACATTTATCATATCTCTATTTATGCTCTGTAAGTATGAATTTTATGGGTTTTAGCCTAAATAAGTGTTAATATTTACCATAAAACTAAGATTAAGAAAATAAAATTAAGTTATATTGAGAATATATGTTTATATCTACATATTCCTATAATGTACACTGCATGTTTGCAACAACTTGTTTGAGAGATCTAATCTTGTAGGAAAGTACTATTTAGTGCTCATTACAGAAGCTTCCCATACATTACTACTATTATT